AACAACAACAACAAAAACAACAACAACAACAACAAAAATAATAATATTAATATTAATATTAATAATAGTAATAAAAAAACAACAACAAAAGTGACTTAGACAGAAACGCTTGGATTAAATCAGAACAACTCAGACACAGGCCAGATACAAAATTTCGCATGAATGTAAACCAGGACCTGCAACTACAGGTTTCTGGTCTGTTGAACCTTTTGCTGAATCACTTAAAGATTTTTTAGGTAATGTAGTAACCTTGGGCTGAATTTGGGCATCCACCTGTGCTAATGAGTCGTTTGAACCCAGTGGCAACCTGCAAATAAACAGTAAGCGTCAAATTTCAAGAAGTAAATATGTAACAAAAATTTGACCACCTACAAATGACGTTTGTCACCAAATCAATGATCATTTACTCAGATTTAAAAAAAATTTTTTTTTTTTTTGCAAACTGACATCTGTATTGTCAAAAACAATATATTTGTGCTCAACTGTTACATCATAAACCGCAAGGTTACAACAGCTGCCCTCATAATCGGTAATCCTCTTTTAAAAAACAAATTTGACTAAAAACGTTTTTCAAGAAAACATAATAAAGGATAAAAGAGCAAAGGTATGCCTCACCTGTTACATTCGTCTACTTCGTCGAAATTAATTGCCGATCCTTGACCGTTAGAATAGGAGTGAAATTTTAATTGAAAGGTTGTTGCAACTTCTATATACCAAAAAGTTGAAAAAATGAATACATCTTAAGCTTCAAGATCAAACATTAAACATTTTCACTGTTAACCTTGTCTTTGTCGATCTCTGTTCTCGTTTGGAACTGAATGACCGCTAACTGCTTCTGAACCACTAGACATTTTAAAGCAATTTTGACTAGCAAGTTGTGACGGTGAATCTGGTAACTCTGAAGCACTTATGGGAGAAAGACGACTGCTGTTTACTGCTGAGTTACTGCAACTGTTATACGCCTCCTGATGAGTCTAAAATAATATAAATTTTTAAAATATAAAACTAAGGTGTTTTAAGAAGGAAACCTTTAAATCCGAACCGGTGAAATAGAATGAAGTGACTGAGCGCTGGAATTCCGAGTACACCTAACGCTTTCCTCAACCTCAAAAGGGTTGTCAACTGCTTGATCCTCTTCAGTTTCTGATTCATCAAAATCAATGTCATCTTCATCATACTCAGAAATGTTATCATTTCCAGGTCTAGACAACCGCTGGTTAAGCGCCGTCTTCTGGAAACCCCTAAAAATAAAGATTTACCAGTGATAACCAGTAATATTAGATCGTTATATCATTATTAAAGCAAATGGATTATAAAATAATTAAAAGACTGTATCATCTTCAAAAAAAAAAAAAAAAAAACTTTAACAGATGTATAACCACTAACAGGTTTTCATAATCTGAAACGTTTGTTGTCTGATTATTTTCTTTACCAAGGTCTACTGGATAATTCTTATCAATTACAGTGTTCCGTTGCATATAATTTGCGTATAACTGCTGAGAAACATCAGTAAAATAATTGTTGGGATAACCATCTGGTGTGACACTGCTCAGTGAACCAGTGCCTTCATCTATGTCATCCTCAAGGGAGAACAGTGTTGGAGAATACCGCTTGGTTATCCGAAGCTTTAAAAGTTTCGGTGATTCAAATAATGACGATGCAGGAAGTGTTGTGCCAGCATACGACGATTTCTTGCCTGAATTAAATACAATATTGACACCCGTCAGATCTGTTCAGTCACCGGACAGCTTTAAAAAAATTTAAAGTGAAAAACAAATAAAATGCAAGACAAAACAATGAACCATTCGTATTATCACCAATATCCGGAACCTCACTTCGCGTACTTTCAAATGAACGCACTAACGACTGACATTTTTTAGCCTCCAAATACTCAAGAATTGTTTTTACTGTATTTTTTACATCCATGACTTTTGAGTTTCCAAGATGATACAGCATCGGCATCGCCTTTTGATTCAGACTGTAAAAAGTAGTTTTGTACAGCCGTGTCTACAGTACTCTTTTTCTACATTTTAGGAAAATGAATAAGAAATTTTGTCAAAATTTTCGTCAGAATTACCAGATTTGTGCTCTAAGTTGATAGTCATACTTCAGCAGCTGCTGAAGTACGTATAAACAGTTGTTGATTGTGGTAAAAGATGAACTTTTTAGTAAATCTATGAGTCTTAAAACCATTTTTTGCAGCACATTCACATGCATATAATCACCAGTGTTCTGCGAAAAACAATGAGATGCATATTTCAAAACTCCTGTTGCAGCTTCTGCCACCGCCTGTAAAAAAGCAGACTTAAAAGAGATATTTTCTGCGTACATATTCCATCGACAGTTATTTGGGCCAGGAAAGATAGGCATAGAATTAGAGAAACATTATAAATGATATTTGAAAGGTTCTACCGTTTGCTGAGGATCATGCATCAGCAGGTCAACAAGCGTCTCAAGAAAGCGTGAATTTTGACATATGGTTTGCTGGTTCTGTGAAGAAAAGGACATGTTCCAGAGGGCTGACAAAGTGGCGCAGAGACACTTGGTATCCTTGTCTTCATATGCACGCATCGAGGCTTGAATCAGACTCGGCACCGTGCAATGCAATTGTTTACTTGTATCGGGGTCAGCATTCCACGATAGATTGCGCAATAAAGCTGCATAAGCCTAAACAATTGGTCAGTTTTTTTTTCGGCAACCGGCAACTTTCACAAATCTTTTTCAGTTCATTAAAAAAGTATCATTACTAAAAAACAATAGGAGAAAGTTGTGAAGTGTTTTCATGAAAAACGATATCATGGCCACTGTAAAATACCTGCGCTAAAATTTGCATTTCAGCAAGAACTTTAACCACATATTCAATAAAATTTGGGTGGTAACAAAGTCGTCGCTTCCTCTGTAGGCTACCAAAAGATAGATTCGTCAACGAATTAGCAATTAATTTTCGAATTGCAATATTTTCATTCATACATTTTAGACCAAACAAATCCACATCACATATAAGCGCTTCAGCAAGAGCATCCAATACTCCTATACAGTAGAATAATGCTACCGAAAAAAATTATTAAACAAATAAACAAAACTTCAATAGAATTTTTCCGACAAAAACGCTATTACTTTTTAAGTATTTACCCAATAAGTCAGCTGTTTTACGATACTCCTCCTCAAATGATTGGCTCATCACAACGGTTAAAGCTTCGTGCATTTTGGAGATGTACTTTGAGGCAGACACTGACGTTGCCGAATCACGTAACTTCCGTAAATAGAATAGCAGTTCACGAAACCGATTTGCCGTCGGTAACAATCGTAATAATCTGCGACGCCTAAAACTGCTATCAAACACCAAAAAATGACGGTAAAACAAACCACAGGCAATTTTATGAGAGTACCATAACGATAAAGCATAGAAATTTAAATTTGGATTAGCTGCTGAAAATCAGCGAGAGCTGAAGCTCTTGATGAAAATAGTGAAAATAATTGTTGGAAACAGTGTCAGCAAAATTAACAAATTACCTTTTAGTATCTGGCTCTTTAAGTACCAAATTTTCCAACCGCAGATGAATCCGTTGCAACTCATCATCCTCACCTTCATGCAAAATTTTGTTACGACGACCATTGAGCCTTGAAAAAAAAATCATTAATATAAACGCAACAAAAAGAATAGCTAAATTTATGACAATAAAAACAAATTTTTAATACAACGCAGTAAAGAAGCCCATTGACTTACCGCAACGAAAAAATAAGCTTTTTTATACGCTCGTCTGTTCCAACATCGTACTCATCATCACAATCATGTAACGTTGATGAGGACGATGAAGCACTATCCATATATCCATCCAAATGCATATATACACTGTCTTCTCAAGATGCTACTAAAAAAAACACCTTTGTTTTTCATGTACTGATTCTCAATTACCAATTAAAAAACACTTCAGAACGCATATGTCGCGCAATCGACGGTATTCAAAAGCTCATTTTTATGTTTAACAACAACAACAACGAAGCACAAACGTTGCAAAAACAAGTATGAGAAAGAAAAATAATGTTCAGTTCGAAAACCAATAACTGAACAATGATAAGCAACACATTTTTCCCTGTTCTAAACAAACATTAAAATAAACAAGCTTGAAGCAAACATGCTGAGCTACTGTCATGAGTAAACAAAACACAACATGCATGACTTCAAATTCACAGCTTCTTTTTTCGCAACTGTAAAGAAACAAAATTTGTGTAGCAATTCATACTGTTCGAAACCATGTACTAAAAAAAAATTATTAACGACAAAAATCTATGCGATTCATAACTAAAATCTCTTCTCTGTTGTCGAGGAAAAAAAAAGATCTATAAACCTATAAAAAACACTCCAAAATAGAATACTTGAGTTATAGTACCACAAAAGTCCAAACTCGTTGAATCTTTGTAATAAAGCAAATAAGCAGTTAAGGTTTTTTGCTCCAAGATTTCCACCTTCCTTGAAATTCCAACAAATTAACAAAAAAATTTATAAATAAATCTATTTCTTGTCAACCACAGTGCTCATTCAAAATCAAATAATGAAAAGAAAGAAATTTATTTTTTGCGCTTAAATATTCAATTTTCAATTATTCCTTACAACATAAAAAATATCTGAAACCTTGACCTATTCAATATTGGCGTAAGATAATTAAACAACAGCAGAAAAAAAATGAAGTTTGGAAAAATTTATCAAAATATTACAGTTCTAAAAT